CAACAGTAACAATGACAACAATAATTACATCAATAACAATACCAATAGCAATCAGAATAGTAATACTCGTAATGTGAAAAGTGACAAGAAGAACAACAACCGTATAGTAATAGTAATAGTAGCAAAGGAAACAACCACAGACACACTACCAGTTCTCTAAGTCTGCCTTCGATGCCAAGGCTCGGACGAGGCTCCAGGCGAGGCACCTGAGGTCTGGCCGGCCAGCGCTTGCTGCAGTCTCGTGGTCCCTGGCAGACTGCTTGCTGTGCTGCAGCTGCCTTCAATGTGCTCGGGCCAGGATGCCACCGTGTTCACAGCTGTTTTCACCTTCACTGTCTGTGCGCGTGCTGATCTCAGTGGGAGCCAGTCAGAGAGTTGGCTCGAGAAGGGACTCGTTGTGCGGCTGCTGGCTTTGTCTTAGGTGCCTGGCTGCAACACTTTCCTGCACAAATAGTGAAGCTTCGACAGCTTTTTGCGACTAGAAGCAGGAGCATCAGGGCAGAAGCCAGGAAAAAGCTGTCCGAAGTCGGAACACTGTTGCCAAAGTCACTTGCGAGACCAAGAAGGTCGAATTTTCCTCGTGCAGCAGTGGCTGCCGGCAGCTGCCTGTCGTGGTGTGGTCCACAGCAGTCTGCTTCGGCTTTTCTTTTAAAGCCGGAAAAACTCATCAGTCTTCCGCCCTCCTGGCCAGCTGCCCTTGGGCATCTGGTCACAGAGCGCTTGCTCTCATCTCGTCGGATGTTGAGAGCTCTTGCACTTTGGCAGATTTCTGCAGGAAAGGCCCTTTAAGGCCTAATGCTTGCAAGACACTGGCCTGCACTGCCTGTCCAGATCTTGATGAAGTCCCAGTCGAGGGTTCAACAAGAGCTGACGTGTTGATGTGGTGTCTTCTATTGATCTGGTCAGGTTGAAGCCGCTCTGCTGATCACAGCTTCTCTTCGGGCCTCCACGTGACACAAGTCAGATCTGCTGAGGCTTCTGTACCTTAGCAATAGAAACGTCATATGCTCTTTATGCGTGACCGCAGCGGGTGCCGAGGGGACATGGCCCAGCCGACAATCTCGCAAAGGGCATCCTGTCGCAGTTTCAAGCGATTTTCAGAGCAAGTTTACCCTCCAAGTTCTCTGGCCCGCCCGCTTCGCTCCTCGCTTCCAGACCGTACAACGCACCGCATGCCACCGGCCTTTGAGACCCCACTTTAGAGCGAAGAGAGGATCGGAGCCGGCAGCCAGGCAGAGAGGGCCAGAACTTCCCAGTTTCGGGTTCTTCGGGATAAGCAAAGAGCCAGCACATTTTTGCTCGCATGTTGGGACTAGCGCTACGGACATACGTTGAGGAGGCCGGCCGAATCGAACGCGGCCAAGTATATGACCGCAGCTTAGTGGAGTTTTTCGCCCTTTGGTGGGCCGTGGGCCGTCTGACACGCAAACGGGATTCGAAGCTCCAGCTTCGAGGGGCTGGAGCGTCCATTCCCACGTCGGGGATGACACCAAAAGCATGGTAGAATCGAGTTCGGCATAACAGTTTCATGCTTTCCCGAGGGAAGGTTGAATCCCTTGACTTCGCTGTGAAGCCGGCATGCTCCAGTGCCTCACATGAAAAAGCCCAGTGCCTCTCTGCAGCACTGAGACGGCCGGTGGCCTAACGATCATGTGCCTGCACATCAATTGCACACGCTTTACTTCGGCATTACTACTGCCGCTGCGGCTGCGGCTCTCGCTGCAGCTACGGGGGCCCTTTGCAGTTACATGTCAGGGTCGTATTGTGCAAAGGGGTTGTGACGTCGTGCAGTTGCGGCAAGCACCCAGATCAGATCTCAACTTGCAACCCGAAGCAAGTTCACCTGATTGGACTGTTTGCCTCTTACTTGCCTGTGGGGAGCGCCATGGAGCATGTTTGCAGGTTTGGTTGCACAGGTGCCGAAGAAAGTTCTGTTTAGCAAGCTGGACAGCCCCCAGAGCCGGTTTGGAGCAGGTCATTCGACTTTCCTGGCAGCAGGCAAATCTCAGCTGCTATGAGGTAAAGGCCTGCATTGCCTGGAGCCGGCATGCTCGAACCACTCGCGTTCACGACATCCTGGTCCTTCGCCTTGTCAATCCGTGATTGCCTTCTAATTTTACTGCCGCTTGGGGAACCCCCTTCCAGGCGTCTCTCAAGCGCAACTTCGAGGATGCGCTCGTTCGTGTTGAGGCGCTGGTGCTCGATGTGCACCGAACCAAGAAATAGCTTTCACCAAACACAGTTTGACGTACTTCGATATGTAGCAAGCAGAATTGCCTTTTGCACGAAGCGCGGCAAATAGACTGCTTACTTACTCGATATTACAGAAGACTGCACTGCACCTGCATACAGTCGGTGATCGGAGTGCGCTGCCACAAGTCGTCGTTTTGACGCTGCAGGAGCTGGAGCGGGATTTTCAGTCGTTGGCGTGGCAAAGTTTCATCGACGCGTGGAGGCCCAGCATTTTCTTGACTTCGCTCTAGTCAGTTGAAAGCTTCCCATGCACCCCGGTTGTCGCATACTCTTCTGGGTTTGCCATGCGATTGCCGTGGCCTGACACCCAAGGACCTGCAGGAAGCATCAGTGAACGAGTCTGCAGCGCATAAGAGAGGATGTTTGTCAAGTGCAAGTGTGCTCAGGCGACATCTGATCAGGCCAGTGCGAGACGAGAGATGTGGGTCATTCTGCATGGCATCAAAGACTCAGCACAGACCATAGCAATCCGTAGCATCAGAGAGTGGCAGGAGCCCCCTCGCACCTGGTCCTGGTGGCAGCTGGTGGCCCCACTGCTCCCAGTGGCGGCGACGGCCTTCAATCTTCAGGCGGAGCTTCCCGGTCCTGGGCTTCAGAGGGGTGACTAAGCTTCATGGTCCGGATATGGTCCCCAACCAAAAGAAGCCTAAGGCAGCCGTTGCAGCCTTGCTTCCTCCTTCTAGGCTGCGCTGTGCGCGCGGCAGAAGGGCTGCTGCAATGACTTGCTGCTTGGCGAGGCCGAGTGCCCTCTCACCGATTTCGAAAAATGCCTACTGGTCTCAGCCCCAAAAACTTGGCAGGCTATGCTGACCTTCCGCCGCGCCCAGGACTTTTCAAACTTTGAGATGAAAATTGATGGTCAGATTGTGACAGTACCGTGAGCCGCAGGACAAGATGAACACACTGCTGTGGCTCGGTACCTTCCAAGGCCACATGCATTACGCATCGCAAGGCACAATCACCGCGACCCGGCTTTGCACCTCCAGTGCTGCTTCGAGGCAGCTTTGCTCTGGCCCCGCACACCGTTGAAGGCCGATACCTGCAAGGACGGCCCAGTGACAGCATGTTGACGGTTCCATGTCGAGCATGCTGACCGCAGTCGAGTTCTGAAGCACAAGTTTGTGGTGTCTTCTACTGGGTGTCTGGCCTAGTGGTGCCTTTGATGCACCTAGTCCTCACCAAACCTGTGCAAACGAAGGAGATGCATGGAACGAAGAGCTCGACAGGTCTTGGATGGAGGCGTCCGAAGGTTATCCAAGGTTCCATGCAGGCAGGAACATTCTTCAATTTCAATCGTGGGGTCATTCTGGATAGTTACAGGATGTGACTGAGGAGGATTTCGGCTTTCTAGGATTTTCAAGGTCCCCGGAGCCAGACCTTTTCGATGTTTACAGTACTCCCTCTCGCCGGCCAGATGTCTCCGGTGGAGCAGGATAGACAGCAGGTTCTCTATGCGCGGGGCCCCCATATGGCTGTCTCCAATGATCCTTGCCGAGCAGGTCGCAGTTCCCTGTTGTTGACCCTATCAACTGAACATAGCATTGCCAGTGTCTTTGACACTTGTCGCTGGAAGGTCCCACGTGGCTGTCTTCCAGAGCCCTTGCAGAGTAGGGCGGAGTTCTCTGTTCTCGTCCATTTTGACTGAATGTTGCTGTGACAGGAGCCCAAACTCAACCCCTGTCTTAGCCCGCCCTCCCTACTGCCGCTGCTGCTGCTGCTGCTGCTGCTGCCATTGCTACATATTGCCACGACTACTGAACCATGCCGTTTTCAAGTTTGTCCCCCTGTGCGAAGTCCGTGCGAACTGTCCGAAACCAAGACAAACGATGCGCTGCATTTTCATGTGTTTTTAAATTGCAGCAGCAAGTATCCGCGGGCAATGTTTGGGGCTTCTGAAGGCGAAGGGCCCAAGCCCGACCCGCACGCCTAGGAGCAGCTGCCCTCTGCGAAAAAATATCCTTGCTTTCTGCGAAGTCTGTGGTCTCTGCTCCACGCATTCTAGTCTCGCTTCCCGGCCGACCCACGAGGTTGCTCGCTAGGAGTTTCCCTGAGACTGGGCTTCCAGTTGGGTCGAGTTGTCGAGGTTTCGATTTGGTGAGCGGCTGTTCGACCTCGTCGGGCGAGCGCTCCACCAAGCATCTCCGGCCGGCTTGCCATCATGACAGGGTCCGTCACTTTGTCGAGCACGAATGACAGCTCACGCCAGGCACTCACAGGTCTTTGGCTGGCAGACACTCGGGAACCCACCGGCCGGTATCCAGCGCTGGGATGCCTTGCTTCGACATGTCCACGTCATGCCATACCTAGACTCGGAAGATGCAGCGACGCAAGGTCGATAGTGGCCTTGTACGAGCTCGCGAATATTCGGACGGTGGATGCCGGCTTGATGAGGCAGGAGCGTCCTGCAGGGCAAAGCCTTGGATGCCAGCAGCTTGGTTCAAGGTGGCTCGCGGATGGCATCTTCCGCAACAAGTCTGTCGCCGAGTTCTGGCCTAAGCGATTGAAGTGCATGCCTGGCAGCCTGTGTAGCGCTGTGACAGCTCTGTGTTCCTAGAGCCGTGCTGAACCCGCTTTGAGGTTCGGGGCGCTCAACGGTGCTAGCTCCGAGTGGCTCAACCGCTCTGGGGCGACGAGGGGGGCCTGGGCCTTTGACGGCGCCGGGGCCTCAGGTAAATCACGAAAGAGTCGTCATGAGCTGCCCCAACACACCTCTGAGGCACCTCGTGTCTTGGAGCTGACGGAAGGACGCGTGGCAGAGAAGGAGACTTCGTGGGAGTGCCAAGAACCCGCCTTTGTGATTGCGGAGCTCTTGCTCACAGGACCTCACGAAACCTTTCCACCTGCCGCGGAGCTTCGACTGGGTCCTGTGTCTAGAGGTTGCCGAGCACATCCCGGAGGCGGGGATGCAAGAGAACACGGCTGAATTGCCCTTGGAAGCGCTGGCACAGGCCAAACTG